GTGTATGTACAACCAGTCGGCCGTTAATCTCATTATTACGACGCAGTGATGAGAATTGAAACTTTGAATCGAAGAAGACGCGATTGTTTTGTGTTTGATAAAAAAAAAAAAAAAAAGAAAAAGATAAAAAGTGGATTAAAAAAAAAGTAACACGATAAAAATAATTTTTTGACGAAGAAATCTCTCACTTTCGCATTAACATGTGTATATGAAATAATTAACAAGTTTTCTACACGCGCGTTTAAATAAAGCAAACGTGTAAATGATTATTTCTTTTCGTATTTTTTTTTTCTTTTTTTTTTTTTTTAAAAAAAAAAAGAAGCTTCGTATTATTCAGATTACATGCACGCATGACAGACGTAATCGCTGAAAGAATTATCGGTAAATAAATGAGAACGTAGAATAACATCGGCTGACAATTGCTATTTTACAAGTTACACCTTCAATAATTTAGAAAATTAATACGTAATTAGCACCCGCTAGCGATAACGAACGGTAAGCTAATTACGTTGATAAGCGAGCGATCATTGCATAAGCGTATAACGAAATTCATTACGTGCGACAGTAACGTCAATTTTATCACACATCATCGTGACGAATCTTTTCGATATATTTTTTTTTTCTTTCCCATTTTCGAAATAATATTGAAAGAGTAACGCATGTTCCTTGTATTTAACAAAACGTTTAACAACGACAAAAAAAAAAAAAAAAAAAAAAAAAAAAAAAAAAAAAAAAAAAAAAAAAAAAAAAAAAAAAAGAAAAAAAAAATCGTAACGAAAGAAAACGAAAGGCATATATTCCCGTGAAATAATAGATCGAAAAAAGTTAATAATTTTGCTTTTATTTTCTTTTCTTCTAGTGTATCAGACCGTAAGGAATATAATTTCAAAAGAAAAACAAAGGGGGGAGGGAGGGGAAAAAAAGTAAGCGCGCACAAAAGAATAAATGATTCATTATTATTTTTCCGAGGATCATGAATCAGATAGGAAATTAAGTAAGAATTTCATCGTATTACACTTAAAAAGCACGAAGGAAAACGACAGTGTCTTTTTATCGATTACACGTTACCTATCGAAATCTAACGAACGAACAAACCAATAAGGAGAGACGATATATCCGAGAAACTTGTTCCGGCCGAACGATTATCACGAATCCTTGTTGCACCGATGACGTCGAAGCATCGATTCGAACTTTTCGAGGTATCGTCGTTGGGTGCATCGTTGTAAAAAGGGGAGATGGGAATGAAGAAAGAAAGAAGAAAAAGGAGAACGAGCGGGAGAGGTGGGGAAGGGGAAGGGGAGCGTTAGGAAGGGTGGAAGGGTGATGAGGGGGGAAGGGGAGAAGGATAGAGAGGTGCCGTCTCGTCATTTTCGTCAATTTAACTTCTCCCTCCCGGTGGAAATTGTAAGGGTGTAAGAGGTTAGTTCGGCCCCCACCGTTGCACTTTTCGATGTCCGCCCCTGATTCGTTTTCCCCCCTACTACTGCCACCCTTCTTCGTCGTCGCCGTCGTCGTCGCCGTCGTCGTCGCCGTCGTCGTCGTCGTCGTCGTTGTCGTCGTCGTCGAAGCGAGGTCAATCGACAGAGAGGGCGAGAAGACGATCCCCACCCCTTTCGGCAAACCTTCTCCCCACCACGGCTACTCAATATCGTTTCATTACGCACCCCCTACTTCCATCCACCACTTCTCGTCTATCTCTCTCCACTTCTCTCCCCCTTTATCCACCACCACCACCACCACCTCCACGAGACTCGATCTTCTCGTTCCACTCTCTGGCGCTCGGCGACGAAACACGAATGCCCACGAATTTTTATTGTTACTTCCCGCGCTGCTTCCTCCTTGGTTTTCTCCTTACCCACCACCCCCATTCAACCAACCCCCCCGATTTTACCCTTCTACCTCTTCCTCCTCCTCCTCCTTCTTCTTCTTTCTCTCCTATCCACTCGACATTCTTTTTTATGTGGCTTTTAACGATCAGTGCCAACTGCACCCATCGAACCTTTTATCTATCATCATGGCTACGAATAATTTCGCGAATCAAAACGCGACGAATATCTATATGAAAAGAAATACATAACATTATATTTTCTAATTGATTCTCGTAATTACGATATTTGCGATAATATTATCTCGATTAATAGAATAACGTTTGGCTTCGTCGCAAAGTTAGACAAGCTATAGGATAGTTAGTAGAGAAAGCCGGTTCTAATGTTTGCAGCACGTGTTAGACTAGTAACAAACCACGCGTTTAGAGTGCTTAAAAGAAAACAAACTCCAAGCTAGCTTCGGGATGCATTTCTTCCTACCTAGTTCTCTACTTAGAGTACTCCACACAGTCAACGATGACGCGTTCCTTCTCTTGGTATTTCGCGTATTATTTAAATTCAAACGATAAACCGATCGACATGATGATGTTAAACTCGAAGTAATTTAGCATTCACAAATAAACATAGAAACGCGTTGTCTATCGTTAATCTTTTTCGAAACACGAATCGAAGAAGAAGAAGAGGAGGAGGAGGATGAGGAGGAGGACATTGTTGCGATCGGTTGTCCATCGTTACGTCCAGTTCCATACTCTCTCTCTCTCTCTCTCTTTAACGCGAATTACGTGCAAACGTTCGAACGAGGTGGATTAGAGCGTGCGTGATCGCGTAGAGATCGGTGGGAATTTTGAAAAAAATAAAAAATAAAAAAAAGAACAACCGTCGCCGCCGACAAGTGTTCCCTAGGACACGCAGATTTGGACAAAGAGACAGAGAGAGATAAATTAGGATCTAATTGTAAGTTATCAATGTCACGTTTCCGATATTGCACCGACACAACCGATTTCTCGTTTCTTTCGCGATACCTTCCGTTAGACTTCCCGAACGCGCACTGGTCGATCTTCGAAGATCGTCTAAAGGAAGTCGGAGGGGGTGTTACATAGAGAGAGAGAGAGAGAGAGAGAGAGAGGGATGGACGAACACACGCACACGGACAACTCGCGGAACCACCGCCGCGACGAACCACCCTTTTGGAATGTTCGTGGAACAAAAGAAGGTGAGTTGCAGAAGAAGGGAGGAATCCGCGAAAATTTCTCGACCACCGAAGCAGCGGAGGCGGCGGTGGCAGCTGCGTTCCTGAACGAACCAAAAAAAAAAGGAAAGAAAAGAAAAGAAAGAAACGCGAGGGAGGATGGAGAGGACACGCTTCCAACGGGGATGAGGGGATAGTCGCGAGGGAGGGAGAGGTCAGGAAAAAGAAGAAACGTAACGACGACGAGGACGACGACTACGAGCAGCCGAAGCGCAACACCGACACGCGCGTCTCCACACGCCTTCTTCTGCGACCGACGAAACTCTCCCTTCGACGAACCGGTTACAAGGGTGGGGAAGAGATAGAGTCTCCTTGGTGGGGAGTGTCGAGAAAGAAAGAGGAAGCAAGGAGAGGGAGGACAAGCTGTGTAAGAAAAAGAAGAAAAGAAAGCAAGAAAGTACTTTCGGGCGGCGGCTGGAATCCCGTTGTCGGTGGTCAAGACAGGCAACTCCTGCGAAATTCCGAACAACGCATACTTCTACTACCGGTCTCATAAAACGACATTTTCTCATTTTATATTCGACAAATGATAATGGAAACGTTTGGAATCTTTCGTTTGAATAGGACAGAATTTATTTTGATAATTTGCCAAATATTCTATCGAATCTAATTGTAGGAGGATGGAAGAATTAGGACGCGAAATAGAAAAAGGAAAAAATAAAAAAAAAGAAAGAAAGAGGAAGAAAAAGAAAAAAAGAGCAAGAGGAGAGAGCACGCGGAGAATCACCCTGTTGAACGCACGGATTCAAGGGGTGTATCGGTGTGTCTAGCAGGATTCGGTATTTCGGTTCGCAACAGGTCTCAGGAGCGGCGCGTGTCCCTCTCCTCCCGGTCTGTATCCCGCACACCGAGACAATCTCATGGACGCGCGCGCAATACACACACACACATATATATATATATACACATCTACAGACAGCACCACACCCACGCGAGAGAGGGCGAGCAGCTGTTCGTGTCCTCCGCTTTACTCACCGACTACGAAGACCATATTCTTTGTCCATCGCAGCAGCTCCCGTCGGATATGTCTGCGTTCCTGTATACAGCGGGCATAGGGGCAATCCGCCATTTTTGAAATCACATCTTAGAATATGGGTGTGCGTGCCGGCCGGGTGTGCCTGCCTCGTGTACCCGCGTGGACGTCCGCGTCTCCTTCGTCGCCGCCGCCGCCGCCACGAGCCTCGCCACCTCCACCTTTACAATCTTCTCCTCCACCTCCGCCCCCTCCTCCTCCTCCTCCTCCTCTTCCTCTTCCTCCTCCAGCACCGTCGTCGTCGTTGCCGCCGCTGTTGCCGCCGCCACCGTCGTCGCCGTCGCCGCCGCCACCACCACCACCACCACCACCAGCACTACTACTACTATCACTACCACTACTAACAACACCACCACCACCACCAGCACCGTTCTCCCTTTTCTCCTTTCCGTCGCCGTCGTTCTCCTCCAGCACCTCTTTCCTTTCGGTGCCGTCCCCACCACTAGCAGCAGCAGCACTAACACCACTACCACCACTACTACTATTACTATTATTCACCAACACGTTCACGTCCGGCAGCAACTGCACCACCACCACCACAAGAAGAAGAAGAACAACCACCACGACGACCACCACCACCACCACCACCACCACCACCACTACTACCACCACCACCACCACCACCACCACTACTACCACCACCAACGTTGCCTTTTCCTCCTCTGGACGTCGTCGTCTTCTCCTTTTACTACCCCTTCTTCTATTTCTTCCCCTAAAAGTAGACGCGGCACGCGGCGGAGTAGCGCGTGCTTCTCTTTCGACGTCACAAACGATCCGTCTTTCTTGTACTCGTCGTCCTCGTCCTCGTCTTCTTCGTTTTCGTCTTGATCGGCGTCGTCTTCGTCGTCTTCGTCTTCGTTGTCGTCGTTATCTTCTTCAACGTTTCCGTCCTCGTCGTCGTGGTGGTTGTTATACAGTCGACGTCGAGGGTGGCGGCGGCGGTGGTGGTCCTCCGTGCACGCTGGAGGGGTGCCGCGCACTCGGGAAGGGGTGCTTGCAACGGAGGAACGACGACTAGTAGCCTCCGCGTTTTCTCCGTCCTCGGTGCCACTTCTGATAGTGGGACAGACTGCTTAGGGCATAGGAACGCGCAAAGAGCACGTGCACGCTTGCGCCCTCGACTTTCCCTCTCTCCTCTCCTCACCTCTTCTCTATTCTTCCCTCACCGAAACGACCAGACTTCTTCTTCAACTATGTACGTATCTCTATCTTTTTCCCTTAACGATTGTTGTTACCTGAAACAAAAGACAAAACCCTTGTTTTTTTCTGTTTCTTTTCTTTTTTTTTTTTTTAAAATCCTTGTCAATCAAAACCCATTTCCCCTCTCATTCATCTATAACTAATAAATCTATTTAATATATTTGAAATATCTTACTCGTGTAAGAATTGCCGAAAAAAATAAAACGGGATATAAGCAAGTATCCTCTTTTTTTCTTTTACCCAAATAATAGAGAGAGAGAGAGAGAGACAGAGAATAAAAGAAACAAAGAAAGGGAAACAAGGTTTATAGGGGCGGATTCGCGCGTTCTACGGCCACGAGTCGAAATAGGAAGAGGGTGGGTGGGCGAGGACGAAAAAGGAAAATGTAGAGGAGGAAACGAAGAGTTGGAGGAGGAGGAGTAGCAGGAGTTGGAAGAAGTGGAAGGAGGGAGGAGGTGTGGGCTTGCACACGGCACATCGAGGAAAAGAGTGGAGGAGGCCGAGTGCGCCTAATATGCAACAAGAGAAAAAGAATTGGCGATCAATAGGTAGTAGCTGGTAAGCGTCCTTTCATCCGCCCCCGCGAACACCCTCGTCCTTTCCACTTGCCCTACCCCTTCTCTTTCTCTCTCTCTCTCTCTTACACACCCACCGGCTCCTTCTTTCTCCTTCTCTCTCTCTCTGTCGTCTCTTCGGCGACTCTTTCTCGTGTACACGCGCGCGCGCGACCACTGTTGCTTCTGCGTTTTCCTTCTCGCCTTCGTTCGTTCTCCTTCCAATCGTATCTTCTAATTTGCCCTACTCGAATTTTTCCCGTTCGAAAGACAGAAAGATAGAGAGAGAGAGAGAGAGAGAGAGAGAGAGAGAGAGAGAGATAGAGGAAGAAAGAGAGTGTTAAAAGTCAACCCTTAAATCCTATCGAGAACTTTCTTTATCTTCAAATATATCTCTCATCGATTCGATACGACGTCGTCAGGAATATGGGTTAACGTGTTACGAAGATTAGAATAGTTAGGACACGTGATCAAACTATTTGTAACTAGAATGGTAGTGGGTACTTTCTTTTAAACGTAATTTTCTTACGTTCGAATAAAACCCCAAGTCGGTCGACGCCTTCCGCAGGGTCAATGAACTTCACTCTCTCTCTCTCTCTCTCTCTCTCTCTCTCTCACTCACTCTCTCTCTCTCTCTCTCTCTCTCTTTCTCTCGTTCTCTCTGTCTATCTCTCTATCTTTCTTTCACTTTCTTTTCGTACCGACTGGGAAGAAAATTTCAGTGTCATTATTTTCAACGTTACAACTTGGCTCGAAAGGGGAAAAAAAAAAGAAGAAGAAGAAGAAGGACACTTTGAGAGTAGCCAATAGGGAGGTGAGAACAGTTGAGACGGAGTGGGATCTTGTATCGGCTTAACTCGTGCAAATATTTACCCGATGCAAAATAAAAAATTCCGCGTTCCAACGTGTTCTTCTCTATCTTTTTTCGGATTATAATATTATGCTGCTATCGTCGATCATTTTAAATATCATTTGTTAAATGATTTCGATATATATATATATATTTTTAATGTATTCCTCTTTCGGAATACATTAAATTGTTTTTTATTTTTGTGTAACTAATTAAATTGAAAATATCCTATTGATATTTACTACCCCTCTCTCTATCCCCCTCTCTTTCCTTCTTTCCTTTTTTTCATATATCGAATATGTAAAAAGAAAAGAGGGAGCGTTGGAAAAAGCATCTTATTTGATAATATTTGCATATATATATATATATATATATATTTCGGTAGGGATGGTGAAAAGGACGTTATCCGTCGTGGGTAAGTATCGTGAAAGGCACAGAGAGAGCGACAGCTGCAGACACGAGCGTGCCTTTCTAGATGCGTTTGGTATAACACGACAGAGTTCTACTACTGCATTCACCACGAGGCGCATGCATATGTGATGGAAGAGGAGTCGCCAACGACTACGACTACGACGACTACGACGACGACGGCGTCATTGAACCTTCGGAGGGTTTCCTCTCGCTAGAGGGAAAAGCTCTCCCAAAGCTTTAAGCTGTGTGCCGGACTACTGGCGTCGACGCTTAACCCTTTCATTGATCATCCCTACTCCCACTCCTATTCCTATTTTCACTACCATCATCGTCATCCTCATCGTCATCATAATCATCATTGTCATATTTGTTTGTCCACGATTAACGCGTTCTATCGATAATTTACTATTTAGTTATAGTACATTTGTGTACTTGTTTCATTAAAAATCATCGATTTTTGGGATAATCGTTAAGACTTTCTTTCGGAGAGCAACTTTGTTAAAAGAGAGAGAGTGTGTGTGTGTGTGTGTGTGTGAGAGAGAGAGAGGGGGGTGGGGGAAGGAGGGAAGGAAGTAATTCAGCTCTGGATGCAAGCTGAATATATAATCAATTAATTAAAACTAATAACATGCTTGGCCCACTTTGCATCCATGGGTTTGCATATTCGTCTCGCTGGACTTTCTTACGACCCCACGACCTCAAGTACGCGTGATGGTAAAAAAGTAAAAAAAAAAAAAAATAAAGATACTCTATAATAAGTAAATAACTATACGATTATCATAGTAATAACGTTTATCGATCAATGTTATTCTTCAAATAGATTGTTATAAAATGATTCGTTTGCTATTATTCCACTAGTTTACTTACGAAGAATATATTATATATATATATAGAGAGAGAGAGAGAGAGAAACAAAGAGGAAAGTTTTGTATGTGGAAACTCACAGTGGTAGAATAGGTATATATAGTTATGTATGTGTGTGCATGTGTGTACACAAGCATTGCGCTAGAACGTGTAGCTTACAGGACCAACGTGTTCACGTGAGTTAATCTTCGAGTGCGTACGTTTAATGCGATACCTAGTAGAAGTAATTCGAGAAGCGGGCCCTTCGTTGCGAATAATCGACTGGAGAATTATATTTATGTATAAAAGTGGCCCAAAATAATATAACACATTATTTTATATAATTGATATTAAATAATTTCAACTAAATCTTTCCGCGTTATTTATTATATTAAAAAAAAAAAAAAAAAAACCCCAATATAAGAATTTCGTTATTGACTTATCCAAAAAATTTGGTGGTGGTGGGTGGATTATTCGAAAAAATTCGAACACAAATACATAGTTGAATTCGAGTTTTTCGAAAATAAGTAAAAAAAAAAAAAAAAACAAAGAAAGAAAAAGAAAAAACGGAAAGAACAGTATAGTACCTTCCAGCCGACGTATCAGCACACCTTGAACAGTCACCTTACTTACTCGACTCCTAATCGATTTTCCCATTACGCGAATCCAGGGAGCAGTTCGCGGAGGCGCACGCACACACGTACGCGAAAGGGACATTTACGCGCGCGCGAACACCTTCCTCTCGCCCGCATTCTCTTGTTTCTTCCGCGTCGTGTCCAGCCTGCATTTCCGTTTACGAAGGAAACACAACACACCTTCCTTTTTAAACTCCCTACTCCGTTCTTTTTCTTTATTCGGACATGGGGAGTCCCCCTTACGCGGCGTCCCACCCTCCTTTTATTTCTTTTCATTACTTTTCGAGTATTAACAACGAGTCCTAATATATCGATCTATAACGATGTCGAAATCGATTTTTGACAAATTCCTCGAATCGCTTAAAATTGTAAAAATAACAATGACCCTCCCCCTCGTTCTCCCTTTCAAGAAAACCAAATTCATCCAATTTCCTTGCCTAATTTCGATCTTCTTTTTGATATCGATCGAAGTTAGCACACGTTTCGAATTACACGCCGATTGGTTCTTACGCGAGAGAAAGAAATAGAGACGAGGATAGAAAATAAAAGGGGGAGAAAGAAAGATAGAAAAAGATACGCGTTTTCATCCGAGAGATAAGGAGAAGTCGAGATAGTTGGAAGTTTGCCAAGAGAAAGAGAAAAAGAAAGAGATAGGAACCTGGCCCTGTTGCTTTTCGACCGAGTCCGACTAAGCTCGAACGTTAGAATATAAGATGCGATCGAAAGAGGAGGAGGAGGAGGAGGAAGAGAAGAAGGAAGGGCATTAACGTCTTATACTTTAGTTGGAAATTCTCGAACGATTCGTTGCGTCACGGTTACGGTTGCTAGATCGATAGTTCGGATGAGTATTTTTATGAGCGACAACATGCGCCCTCCACGTTCACCAGTTGCATCATCCCTCTCTTCCTTGTCCGTTACAAGCTAATTTATTATAACAGATAAGATAACTTTTACCAAACAACAACAACAACAACAAGAAAGAAAGAAAGCAAGAAAGGAAGGAAAAAATAAGTAGCAAACAATCTATATGGAAATAGTATAAATAATTGTTGAAGAAAAAAAAAAAAAAAGAGTATCGTTACCAAGTTCACAATTAGCTTATCGAGAAAGTTTCCTATCTTTATCTCCCTCTCTCTCTGTAACGGGTTAGATATCAACCTAACTATCCATCTCTCTCTCTCTCTCTCTCTCTCTCTCTCTCTCTCTCTCTCTCTCTCTCTCATTTTAGGTGCGGTACATTTGATTTAAAGAGGCAAAAAGGTCTTTCGGTTCCGAAACGCCCGGTGGTGTCGGAAGGTTTCTCAAAGATGGAAGGAAGGGACCGATGAGTGAACGAAAATGGGATGGAAGATGGTAAAGAAGAAAGGAGAGAATCAGGAAGAGCAGTTGGAGGGCGAGTAAAGAGTGGTAGGTAGTAGTAGTAGTAGTAGTAGTAATAGTAGTAGTAGTAGTAGTAGTAGTAGTAGTAATAGTAGTGGGGGAGTAGTCGTTGCACTCGGTTTTTTCCGGCTCGTGGGGGAGTTGGTGGGTGCGAGGCAAGGGTGCGTTGGATTCGGTTACTTGGTCTCACCCCTTGGACCCACCTCCGGAGTCGAGGCAACGAGCCAGAGAGCCCTGTACTCTCACCCTCCTTGCTCTCCCCACTACTTGCATCGGTACTACCACCACCACCATCACCACCACCACCACCATCACCACCACCACCACTACTACACAACCTACTACTACTACAACTATCTCTACTACTACCTACAACTTGCAGCAGCGCCGGCAACAGCCGTCGTCTCTTCTTCTCTCTCACTCCCTTTTTCTCTCAGTTTCTCCTTCTCTTTCTAATTCTCTTTCTCGTTTCTCGTTTCTCTTTCTATCTTCGTTGCTCGCGCAATGTCCTCCGTCTCCCTTCCACGCGCCTCAGCAGCAGCGGTGTACTTCTCGTTTTTTTAACGAAGGATCCGCTCAATACCTCGGCTGTCATAACCTCCCGGCACCCTCCCAGCACTCTCCCAGGGTGGTGCTGGTCCGCGCACCTCTCTCTCTCTTTCTTTCTCTCTCTCTCCCTTTCGCTCGCTTTCTCTTTTTCTCCCTTTCTCCTTTTTCTCTTTCTAGCTGGTGCAAGCCTCCGCAGGGCCCACCTACTCCTTCTCAACCCTTCTCTACCCTTCTCCTCTCGTCCATTCCTCTTCCCAGTTTTTAACGTTTCGTTCGACGTTTCCCTCTGGGTACTACCGGAGAGAAAGAGAGAGAGAGAAAGAAAGAAAGAGTGAGAGAGCCAAGGGGGAAGTGCATTTCGTCGTTACTTTGTTTTACGTGCTTCCTCCCTCTTCTTCCTTCCTTTTACGTCTCGCGTATACCACAGCATCCTTTATTCCCGTTCTATCCTTCTATCCCTTTCCTTCTCACTCCTCCTACGCTTCCTCTCTCTCTCTCTCTTTCACGATTCCTCTCCACCTCTCTTCTCATCTCTTTTTCTCCACTCTTCTTCTCCTCCTTTTCTATCCATCACCAATCAAAGCCGTTTCTCGTATATGCTTCTTGCTTTTTCGGTCTCGCACCCTCTTCTCGAATCACGATCTCTCTTTTCTACCGAGGGTCACCGGTGCACAGGGAGAGAGCCACCTCTCGATTGGTTCTCAATTTTTATCGATTCTCGTAGAGACTAACGAGAAAGACTCTCTTTATTTCTTTTTAAAATACGCTTGGGAGACGCCTCTACGTTCCTCCTCTTCTTCCTCCTCCTCCTTCTCCATCTCCACCCATCCACCGCTTCGTCCTCCACCTTCTTCTATTTCTCTCTCTCTCTCTCTCTCTTCTTTGCTCGTCTTTTACTAAGAAATTTCTCGTAAAAATCATGGAGAAAAGGGGCTTTTGCCGGTGCTGCTTCTGCTGCTGGTGGTTCTATTGCTTCTACCTACCACCACCACAACCATCATCACCACCATCACTACCAGTACAATCGTCCTGTATAAAATAATACAGTCCGATATCCTCGTAAAACTGTCCACGACGTTACACGTCATAAACTTCATCGTGAATTTCACAAATTATTTACATAAACCGTTACTTTGTTTACGATCTTACAATGTAAACACAGAAAATAATGTATATCTATATGCGTAATAATACGCGTTATGCTCGTAAGAAGCGAATATAAAGGGTTGTTATATTTATCTACACATTCCTGAATACAATAAATTCATTTGTTCAATTTACAAAGATCTTCTCTGTAATATAATATGTCGCCTCTTGTATTAACAACTAAAATCAAACGTGTTCTTCTTATTCTTTATTATTTTTTTTGTGTTCTTGTGTATGTGAAATATTTCGTCTAAAAAAAAAAAGAAAAAGAAGAAAAAAATAAAGCAAAGTACAAAAAAAGAAAAAGAAACAAGGACAAGTAAAAGGTGTGGTGGTAGATTCTTGTAAATTGTATAAAGAAAACGAATAGAAAAGTGGGAAAGGAATGAGTCAAAGGGATGAATCAAAACGATCTCGAAGAAGTACAAAGTTCGAGGAAAATACTGCTTTTCGAAGAGAGAGAGAGGGAGAGAGAGAGAATGAGAGAGAGAAAGAGAAGAAGAAAGATCTTGGAAACGATAGTGTAGAAGCAGCAGAGAGTAGCTCGAAAACGCTTAAATCCTGTTTGGAGGCTCTCGAAAATCCTGCGATAGAAGTAGCATGGCCTCCTTCCGTTCCTCCCAACCAACCACCACCACCACCCCCCCTTTCTCTTGGGGAAGCAACAGTTCGTTCCATCTCCCCCCGCTCGTATCACCCCGCACCTTCTCCTCCGAGCTTTTAGCATCCTCCTTTCACCACCCTAAACCACCGGTAGCATAGTGCACAGCTTTTGCCAACTCCCTTCGAATCTCTTTTCCTTTCCCTTTCCTACCTACCCTTTTCCTCATCCCTCTACTACTTTTCACACTCGTACGATCATACTTTGGACGTCTAATAAATTCACACTTCTTTTTTCTCTTTTTTTTCTCAGTTTCTCGTGAAATTTAGAATAATCGTCAACGTATACGTTGCGTGCAAGTTTCGTTAGTATAAATATTCTTTTTGTTTTTTTTTTTCTCGAGAATAATAATCTTCAACGATATTCTCAAATCGATCATCGTCAAATTATTAACTTGGCCTATGTAATCTTTATCGAACGAAATGAGTTTAGAAACGAAATGGATTTGGAAACAAAAACGAGTATTGGTAGAATCCTGGGTGAAATTCGTCGGATAATAATTTCACCGTTCGGGTATGAGGGTGT